ACCCGCCAGCATCAGCAGGATGGCTTATTGACCAACTACCTGCCCCCGCCCCCATCGCCCTGCCAGCTGCTTACTGAGGGCAGGTGCCAGTGCCCGGGGCTCACCCTGCCCCCCGCTGCAGGAATCCAGCTCTGCCCCCTGCACGGCTCCAGGGGTGCCACGTGGGCCCAGGAAGCTCGGAGGGGGTTGAACTGGGCAGGGCTGGGATGCTGGGAGCCAGGGGCAGGTTAAGCGCAGGGGGACCTGCTACCCAGAGGCCTGGGGGGGTTCAGGGGTCCCCCCCCCTGGGGGCAGGCCGCTGTGACAGGTGCGTGTCCCACAGCGCCCAGCGAGAGGACGATGCGGGTCGTGTGGCTCTCCCTGCTCTGCGCCGTGGGGCTCAGTGACTTCGGATCCTGCTGGTATTTTACGGACAGCAAAGGTGTACCTGATGCAGGTGAGACTTAGGGGCACAGACGCAGGAGGGGGAAGTTAACGATGGAGGCGCCCGTCCAGCCCACCCTCTGGGCTCACATCCGGGGCTGCCCCTCGGCTCCCCTCTGCAAGGCAGGGCCCCTGCCGCCCCTTCCCAGAGCCTTGTTGCGTCTAGACTGGCCACGGATGCGTTTGTGCAAAAGCACTTTTTCTGCTAAAGCATCCGTGCCAATCTAGATGCGCTTTTGCGGAAATACTTTTAATGGAAAAACTTTTCCGTTAAAAGTATTTCTGCAAAATCACTCCAGTCTAGATGCAGCCAAAAGGTTTTAACATTGTCTTTATATATGAGAGGGGCAGGGAACCTGTTTTGAGTCAGGGGCCACTGACCCACCGAAAAGTCAGTTGGGGCCACACAAGTGAGATGCCAAAAAAAATACCAAAAAACCCCAAGCCTCACTAATACCCCAAGCCTAACTAATGCGGTCCCAAGGACGCTAGCACAGCTGGCAGGGTGCTGGAGCCAGGGACAGAGTGGTGCTGGGTGCAGTGGTAGGTGGCAGGGTGCTGGGTCCAGGGACAGGGTGGTGCTGGGTGCTATGGTGGGTGGCAGGGAGCTAGGTCCGGGTCACAGAGCAGACAGCCCCCCCACTACGCCACAGATGTTCTAATCACTTTCCTTCTGATATTAATACAAACTTCCTTTTAGGCTTTCCCCCTTCATTTTTGAAAAATTCTATCATATAAATGAAACGCGCACATTTTTCTTGTATTTTGTAACCTTTCCCCCTCTCCACTCCCCTCCTCCCCCTGAAATTACCACTTAAAGATCCAGATACGCTCATAGGGACATATATATGTAATCCCAACCTGCATAAGAATAGCTCCACCGAAAGAGAGTGAGGAGGAGGCAAAGCCCCCGTATCTGCAGTGCCCTGGGATCTGCAAGTGCCGGGGTCAATCCCACTCCAGCCAGCCCCCCTGCACGCTGCACTGCCCCCCAGCTCTGCTTCCTGCCCCCCCTTCCATCTGGTCCGCCCCCTGCTCCCCCCCACCCCTGCTTCCCACCCGCCCATGGCTGACAA